GACTTTTCTTCTAAAATGAGCACTTATGTTTATGTTCAGTTAATTTATGTTAAAAGCGATAAAATAACATTCTTTGCTATATAAGCAAAATTACTGAATTAAGACAAAGGAGCCAGAGAAAAGTTTAGATGGCACTTAGAGGTTTTTGCATCTAATCTTTTCATACACACACACACACACACACACACACACACACACACACACACACACACACACACACACACACACACACACACACACACACACACACAGACAGACAGACAGACAGACAGAGAGACAGACACACACACACACACACACACACACACACACACACACTTTTTTTGCACTTTTCCTTCATAAAACAAAACGTTAATGTAGAGGACAAAAAAAAAAAATCACATCCAAAATAAAACCACGGCCATTTTCTACATCGATTTGATTGATTTTATTTGTAAGGCACCAGAAGCATTTCCTTACTGCAGAAATTTCCATTTATGTATAGTAAATGTTTATGTACTTTGTCTGTTTTTAATATGGAATGAAGCTATTTTATAACACAATTATTTTGCACTGTAGGTTGTACAATATACATAAAAATCAGGAGCTTAAAAAACAAACCAATAACAAAAAAGACTTTATAAAGCACAGAAGGCTTACAATGCTTTTAACAAATGGCAAAAAGGCAAGCAATGAAGTCTAGGGAGAAGGAAGTGGCAGAAAGAAAGGAGGATTTTCGGCGACAACCTGTTCTTAAGTGCCTCTAAAACACAGACGTGTTCAAGACTGACACAAAAGCATCTGTTTGCACATAAAGCTTCAGCTCTATGAATGATGTACACATACAGTACACCTGCGGCCTGCTTTTAGAAACACTTCGCATTCGGCTCGATACGATTTTCGTTTACACAGCGACCACTACTATTTGTTTAGTTAAAAAAGTAAACTAAATAGATTTGAGCTAGCCATGATAATACATCCTGACACTTCTTTCATAAATACACAGAAAATTATTTGATTTTGAAAGCACTAAGATGTTATTAGTTGGCTTTAGTGATGTTTTCTTATGTTGGCACAGCCATAAGTTAAAACCGCGAATTAAGACGAGACACGGCAGGCTAAAACTCATGAACCTGGCACATTCTTACAGCAATATTTTAAGTTAACATCCAAACGTGTATGTTTCTTTTACTGCACGTTATCAATTTGTGTCTGAAATTTTCTAAAGGCTTTCAAAGGGAAAAAATAATCACATTTTAAACCCGACTACACCTAATATTACGATTTTTGTGCTAGAAGTGTATGCAAATTGATGCCTATCGAATTCAATACGTCCTCATTTGCATATTTAAGCATAAAATAAAACTTGTAATCTACGAAACGTCCAACTGGGGAACTATGATGATAAATATTCACTCACTTTTTACCCTGTTGACCTGCGGTGTCTTGCCTTAAGGCCTTCCTTAACATGCGAATCAGCTTCACTCCTGAATTCGATATGGTTTGAAATCTATTAGCATCATTAAAAGCAACATTCAAATAAACAGAATATGAAACATCCAAACAATGAAAATGCTAAAAAAAAAAGCCAGATCTAGTTTTCATTAACAGATTACATCGAACAGAAAGACGGTTGAGGGGCAAGGGGGATAGGTAGGGGGAATGGAGTGGTGTACTTTGGCATAAAAATGCATCACAATCTATGCCTACAATACTGCTATAGCTCCAAATTATGGGTTCACTTCGTCTTCTGACTGAATAAATGTTATACTGATTCATTTTTTGGGCACATCAGATTAGCATACTTCATATAAACCAACAAGGGGCGCATAAATGCCACAACTCCAGACTCAAGTGACCCTCAGGATATAAGTGTGGACTTGCTATGGACTTACTGCCCCCTCTTGGTTAAATCTCTTACTACAACATGACACTGCGAGACTGAATATACACAAAGATGAACATTTTATATCATAGCCTTTACCTTAAATCAAGAAATGTCCCTTGGTAAAATTATCCATGGTTTTATTATAGTAACAGTGTAGTAACTTTGCTTTTTGGCTAAGTGATTACGATTTGGAGAACATGTTTTACTTCAAATCCCATGGTTAACCAGTGGTTGATGAAGCAAAACCATGTTTAATCTGCATCCATCATGTTTTAACTACAAAAATGATGTAGAATTGTGTTTGTAAGGTATTAATGACAGCTAAATCATGGTTAAAGTTGTGGTTAGCATGATTTAACTACAGTTTTTTTGGATTAATTTGTGGTAAAACCATGGTTCATTCTCCTAAGGGTGTTCCTGTAGTGCCATCAAAACAATGAAGGTGCTTTCTCAAATACCATTTTCTTACAACTGACCTTCTTAACACAGTGTCTACACCAAAAACACACACTATAAAACAGTGAAGCTACACTCACAAACTCCAAGTGCTAATTACATGGAGGACAGATTCCATTCATTGCCGTGCAACACACCCAAGACATCGAATTTGGTGTAGACACGGTGTAAGAAAAACTAAATTTTTAAACGACTTTCACTATGTAGACAATCAACATTACAATAAAAAAAGACCAATAATATCATCTTTTAAACAGCGTCCCTTTTCACTTGGTGAGCAGGTTAGCAAGCATCTCAGAGGATTCATCTAATACTCTCTAAGACAGCACAACAAACACATTAGAAATCAGGCAGATGGGTGGATAGATATACAGTACGCCGAAGTGCCGTGTAGAAAAATTTTCTTTCTGTTTCAACACTATTCATCAAGTTTCATTAAGCACTTTTAAAGGGACAGTTTAATTAAAAATGGTAATTGTGTGATTTACTCACATTCACGTTGTCTATAATCTGTTTAGCATACTGTACTTTTGTATGTACTGTAAAAAACAAAAGGAGATGTTTTGAGGAATTTCCAAGCTGTTCTTTTCTATTTACAATGAACCGCGGACATAGCTATATGGCAAATTATTCTAATAACAGATTGAGTTTCTCTGCTTTCAAAACATTTGGGACATACAGTGCTCAGCAAAAATGAGGGGAACCTTTACAGATCTCCTTTTAAAATGCATGCTTTCTATTGGATACTTTACAACACATTTATGTTTTTGCACAGATTAGTCAGTACCAGAACCAAATCAGAAACTAATCTAACAACATCATTTAATCAACACAAATAAATACACCCCAATGAATATGTTAGGATAAAGTATTAAATAAAATTTTATTAAAGGGGGGAAATACACATTACATTGATTTTAAATGTTTTCATTTGTAATATTTTTGTACAACATCTCAAAAAATGAATTATCTTTCTATTATTAAAGCTGTCAGGCGACTAAACTCTTATGTTAATGAATAAAACAGTTGAATAAATCAGTTTGTGTTCTCTATTAACTAAGAAATGGATGGAAAATATTATTTTTAAAGAGGGTGTACTTATTTAAGCTTTCTGCTGTATGAGTTATATTTGTGATGTTTTTAATGGCACTTTATTCTTTTAAAAGCTTGATGGCTTTGTTCCCGATTTACTTCAACTCTGTGCAAAAGAGCAGCTTGAACATTTTTAGAAATCTCTTTTTGTTTCCTGTAGCAGCCTTATCAGTGTTTTTTTCCATTACTTCCATAATTCTGTTAATTAATTGAATTGAGAAATTTTTTTCATACAATGGAATACAATGGTGAATGATCACAACTTGCAAGCAACATTTTCTATGACGATTAACAACTTACATTCTATATTAATATTAATATAGATGATTAATTAACTAATTAATTAGTTAAACAGTTTCCGATGGCTTATGCTACATGTTATGTTACCATGTTTTGGACTATGGTACAGGAGTCATATTGACTACGTTTTTGATGCTTTTCTTGTGTTTTTGAAGCTTAACAGCTTTTATCCCCATTCACTTCAGTTGTATGAAAAAGAGCAGAGCAAGCATTCTTTGAAACATCTCCTTTTGTTTTTCCACAGAAGTCAGGCAGTCAAACGAGTTTGAAACTACACCACAATTCAATAATTTACTCACACCACACACACGTTGTTCTAAACCCATAAAAAGTATTCAGAGTAGTATCCAAGCAACTTTTTCAATAAAATGAAAGTGACTATATTAAATGTCAAAAATGATCACACAATTTGCTTATAGGTATAGTTCATCTAAAAATTTTAATCCATTTAATAATGCTTCATTTTTTTAAAAACATTTATTTGATTTTTTTTTTTTATCTTCTCGTAAGCACAAAAGAAGATATTTTGAAGAATGCTGGTAGCTGGCACCCATTGACTTCCACAATATTTTTTTCATACTACAGAAGTCAATTGTTCCCAGCTACCAGCATTCTTCAAAATATCTTCTTTTTTGTTTAAGAGAAGAAATAATCTTTATATTAAATTAGCAAGAAAAAATTATGAGGTGATTTTTTATTTTTAGGTTAACCATCCAATTAAAAACCTGGTATACAATCATAAACTGTAGAATAGGGATGTCAAACTCCTATAGGGCCGCTGCCCTGCACAGTTTAGTTCCAACCCTAGTTAAACACACCTGATCAAACTAATTAAGTCCTTCAGGCCTGTTTGAAACCTACAGGTTAGTGTGTTGGAGCTGGGTTGGAACTAAACTTTGCAGGGCTGCAACCCTTTAGGAATTGAGTTTGACATCCCTGCTGTAGACTAAATATGTGATGCTTTTAGATCTCACTGAAAAACTTTGGTCCCCATTCACTTCAATGTATGGAAAAAGAGCAGCATGAACATTCTTAAAACATCTTCTTTTGGGTTTGTTTTTTTTTAAACAAAAAAAGTCAAACATGTTTGAAACAACATAAAAACCCACCATTCCTCATGTTGATCTGAACCAATATTACTTTTTTGGCACATTTTATTTTTTGTTTTAGAATTGTCCAAACTGCTCTTTTCAACATGTCTAATATTTCTCAGCCTAAAGTTTTATTAAAACTACACCAATCATATAGACTAGTTTATTGTTTTTAATAATCATTTCATTGTCCCTTTTAAAGCGTAATAAGGTTAGTTCCTATTCATTGTAAAATGAGGCAGCTTGAACATTCTTTAAAACATCGCCTATTGTATTAAATTTAAAAAAGAAATGTCAAACAGGTTTGGAACAACACACAAGCCCTCATTTTTAAGTCGAACTGTCCCTTTAAGGTAGAATAGATGCAACAGCCGTGCTTCCTTACAATAACACAGATCCTTTAAACTCTAAATGGATTATGCCGCGGCTAAGTTTTTAGATTCAACGTTGCTTTTAGTCTCCGAGTTACAGCCTGGGGCCAAAGTGCTTTTGACTCAGTTATTGTAGATTGTAGCTTTAAAAGGTGAAAGATTTTAAGAGGAAGAAAGAGTGAGCGGGGGAGAAGGGAAAAAAAAAGGAGAAAAAAATAAAAGAGGAATTATTACCGAAGGGTCGATGGTCCATTAACGGTCACACCGTTTTTCCACAACGAGCATAAGAAATATACAATATATATAGATATATACATACACGCAGGCAAGAAAGAAGTGTAAATGAAATCAAATCAAGCATCCATAACACAATAAAAAGGAGGATCAGTATAAATACATAGAGAGAAAGCTGGTGGAATGAACCAGAACGAATGAGTTTAGCAATTCAGAGGGGAGATAGAAAGATAGAAGGAAAATGAAGGAAAAGAAAAGGGGGGAACAAGTGCTTCTGCTCTACGCTGAGCTCTGGATGATGATGATGATGATGATTGGGTTTGGCCGTCGACTAGTCGGATTTGTCTCCGTCCTCCTCGCGGTGGCTGTCGGACGTCTCACGTGTGCTCTTGTCCTCTTTGGCCAGCTGGGCTTGGGATGCCAGGATGCTGGAGAGGGAGAAGAGGCCGGAGCTGGAGGTGACGGCGGGCAGGCCGGCCGGCTGGCTGAGGCCGAGGGGAAGAGGGGTCATGGGCAGCGCCAGCCCCTGCAGCTGGGAGAGCTGGTGAGCCTGGAGCTGCTGCTGCACAACACACAGACATGCAGTGCTGTTACTTCAGGAATATGAGCATACTTTCTGGGGTTATTTTATGAAAGATGCCCTAAAATTTAAATTCTGGGCCAAAACGGCTTTGTAATTATTATGTATTATTTTAATAATTTTTAAATTGAACTCAATAACTTAAATTATACTGTTTTAATAAACACAAGCCAATAAAATAAGCACATTTTATCGACAGTACAATACTATTTGGTGAAAGTGAACGAGTCGAGAAGCGTCATTTTACCAGCGTTGCCATAACAGGACAGCAAGGCTATTACAAGCAGCAGGAACAAGTATACTACATAGAAATGTGTTTGTTATTTGAGCAGACTTTGCTTTTCCAGTAAGCCTAAGCAATTCACGCATGGATGAATTGTATGTGTACATGAGAGGAATATCCACAGAGTGGAATATTGTGCTAAGTTTGACAGCAGTAAATGCACAAGCAAGTTGACGGTGCAGCAACAGACCACCATTGAACGGCACAAGCCATTGAAAAGAACGGGTTTCATACTATGACTTCATAGTAAGCAATTTTTAATGTGCAGTGAACGCCGCTTCACATCACTTGTGAGTACAGCTGGAGGAAAAGTGAGACTGTTCGAAAACCTAAAATGCCATTGCATATGCGTCTCTAGTTATCAGTGAAAAGGAGGGGCAGCATGGACATTTCTCAAAACATCTCCTTTTGTGTTCTATTGAAAAATAGACCAAATAGATTTGAAACAAAAGAAAATGTCTAATTTTCAGTCAAATTTTCAAAAATCATAAAAGAGGCAAAAGCAATGCCTTCTTGGTGTGTGTGTGTGTGTGTGTATGTGCACAGCTATAGGAAAAATGTTATTTATTCTGTAAACTACTGATTATGCTGTGAACTACTGTCATTTAGAGCATTTTTGTGCATAAAAATAGAGGACTTTAGATATTTTTGTTGAATTTTAGACATCACAATAGCAATGTAAACTCAGAAGAGTTACGCCTGTTTCACACTGCAAGCAAAGCGTGAGCAGCGCGTAAAGAGAGCAGAAGCTGTGCTCAGGCGTTTGCCTTACACACCGACTGCAGCTCATCGGCAGCTGCTGCACAGATCAATTTATCTCTGTCTATTCTATCTAGTTACCCATCTATCTATAAATACACTTTTTTTATTTTTTAACTTTTCATCTGCACCAAGGCCTGCATCAACTTCCTCCTATGCCGTTTCCTTAACCTGCAAGTCTTTATTTTACACATAATATGATCCTCAAGAACTGTATGCTCCTCAAGTTCTGAGGAGTGTCATTCATGTCTTTTGCAGGTGCACTCGGTCAGAAGACAATCGCCTGTGGTATTATGTCATTTTGTTTTTGATTGTCAGGATGATATAGGCCAGGGACGCCCAAACTCGGTCCTCTTGGAGAGTTTAGCTCCAACTCTAATCAAACACACCTGAACCAGCTAATCAAGCTCTTACCAGACACTAGAAACTTCCTGGCAGGTGTGTTGAAGCAAGTTGGAGCTAAACTCAGCAGGACGCCGGCCCTCCAGGACTGCGTTTGGACACCCCTGATGTAGGCCTACAGTTGTAATATTTATACAATAGAGTTATAATAATATTTATACATGATCAAACTAGGCAAGGCAGTGGCGCAGTAGGTAGTTTTGTGCACAGCAAGAAAGTCGCTGGGTAGCTGGTTCGAACCTCGGCTCAGTTGGCGTTTCTGTGTGGAGTTTGCATGTTCTCCCTGTGTTCGCGTGGGTTTCCTCCGGGTGCTCTAGTTTCCCCCACAGTCCAAAGACATGTGGTACAGGTGAATTGGGTAGGCTAAATTGTCCGTAGTGTATGAGTGTGCATGTGAATGTGTGTGTGGATGTTTTCCAGAGATGGGTTGCGGCTGGAAGGGCATCCGTTGCATAAAAAAACTTGCTGTATAAGTTGGCGGTTTATTCCGCTGTGGCAACCCCAGATTAATAAAGGGACTAAGCCGACAAGAAAATGAGTGATCAAACTAGTGTGCAACTTACACAAAACTAATACTAAAAGTGTTTTGAATTTGGTTGTCGTTCAGGCACAAATAAATATTTGTTGCCATTTTTAATCATTTAAGTTTAATTGATTGACGATGTATGTGAATCAGTGGATACTATCGATGCGTTTATTGGATAAAATTGCTACTTTTATTGTCATTCAGTGTGTTTTAGTCATTATCAATGCACTGTCACTTTAATTGAGCTTGAGCAGTGCGGCAAAAATAGACCCAGCGCCAAAACTATCGTGGAACCACTGCTTCAGCAACGCTCACGCCTTGCGCTGTACGCTGCTTCTGCATGCAGTATGAAAGCTCTAATCTGTTAACATGGACGCCAAAAAAACATGCGCTGCTCACGCTCTGCCAATGCTTGCAGTGAAACAGGCTTTAGAAACGCAATATTTGGTGGAATACCCTGATTTTTGTTACCGAACTGCCATTTTCTGAAGACAAAATGCTCAAAATGAAATAGTTTTATTATAGAAGAAATGTTCTCAGACCTTAAATAGAATAAACAAAATACCAAAAACCAATACCAGAAAAAAATACAGAATGTCCAGAGAATATACAAGTGCTCTCTTAAATATCCACAGGTGTCAAGCACAACAATGATGCAGAAAAATCAGTCAAAATGTGTTTCTGTATACACAGCCTGTCACAAACTAATTCACATGCATTTGCATAAACATGGCCTACTGTATAAGCCTGTGTATGCACCCGCATGAGCCTCTCACACTCACACACAGACACTCACACACACACTCACTCACACACTCACTCACACTCACACTCACACTCACTCACACACACACACACACACACACACACACACACACACACACACACACACACACACACACACACACACACACACACACACACACACACACACACACACACACCCACAGTTTACCCGTATGATGGAGTTCATCTCTGGTGGAGTGACCTGTTTGGCTCTTTCTATCGCCCCCAGAACCTGCTGCTGGTGCTGAAAAAGACACAATCACATCAACACCTTACGCAACACACTCCAATCCTACAGCCACCATAAAATCATCATGCATTTACACTACAAATATAGGCTCTCCAACATCATACCCTCAATTTATCCACTTTTTTTTTTTTTAAGTTTTAAGTCTTAGGATTCTAGTACAATGAGTACAATGAGATGTCATTATTCTCGTCACAGTTCATCCATTGAATATTAACAGGCAACTTATATTAACAATTGACTTTAAACATATAGATGAATAACGCCAAAACATTGCAACGAACATTAATATTATTGACGTGTATTAAATTTTACTGTACTGTAGGGAATGCCAAGAGTATAATAATATGGAGGTGCAAAACACAGTGAACTCAAAAGAGCTTGAGATGATAATGTCACATTAAAACACCAAGTGTAATGTTATTTTAATGACGGATAAACCAAACGTATCTCTCACTTAGGCATGTGTAAGTATTACTTGATGTGCTATGAAGTATATGAAGTAATCGGTTTCAGTTCTTTTGAAAGGAAGTTCCCCCAACAGGAAGCGCAACTCATAATTTGAAACACGTTAGTGATTTGATAAAAAAGATTTGCAATTTTCATCGATAAATTATTATTTAAAAAGATAATTCGGACACAAAATGGAATGTTGGAAACACTGACATAAATTGTATTTATTTTCCCTACTATGAATAAATGGTTAACAGTTTCAGCATTCTTCGAAATATCTTTCTTTTGTGTTCAACATAACAAAAACAAACAAAAAAAAAAACAACAACAACAACAACAAGTGGTTTGGAAAAGGTGATGGTTGAGTATATGATGACAGAATTTTCATATTCAACCCAGATGTTTAAGGTATGATGATACACTTAGTGGCCACTTTATTAGGTACACATTACTAGTACCGGGTTGCCTTTGTTGAATTTATGCCACAAAGGATTAAGTCGCTAATGTACTGGAAATATTTCTCAGAGATTTTTGTCTATCTTGACATAATAGCATCACACAGTTGCTGCAGATTTGTTGGCTGCACATCCATGATACGAATCTCTAGTTCCGACAAAAGGTGTTCCTTTGTGTATTGAGATCTGGTGACTGTGGAGGCCATTTAAGTACAGTGAACTCATTGTCATATTCAAGAAACCAGTATGAGATGATTCAAGCTTTATGACATGGCGCAAATTGTAGCCTCAGTATCCTGTTCTTAGCTGACAAGAGTCGCACCCGGTGTGGTCTTTTGCTGCTGTAGCCCATCCGCCTCAAGGTTGGATGCTCTTCTGCATACCTTGTTTATAATGAGTGATTATTTAAGTTACTGTTGCCTTTCTATCAGATGGAGCCAGTCTGTCAATTCTCCTCTTACTTCTGGCATCAACAAGGCATTTGTGCCCACAGAACTGCCGCTCACTGGATTTCTTCTCTTTTTCTGACCATTCTCTGTAAACCCTAGAGATGGTTGTGCGTGAAAATCCCAGTAGATCAGCAGTTTCTGAAATACTCAGAACAACCCATCTGGACCATGTCACATTCAAAGTCACTTAAATCACCTTTCTTCCACATTCTGGCACTTGGTTTGAACTGCTGCAGATCGCCCTGACCATGTCTACATCCCTAAATGCATTGAGTTGCTGCCATGTGATTGGCTGATTAGAAATTTGCATTGACAAGTAGTTTGACAGGTGTACCTAATAAAGTGGCCAGTGAGTGTATGTTTGATTGTGTGTGTGTGTGTGTGTGTGTGTGTGTGTGTGTGTGTGTGTGTGTGTGTGTGTGAATGCAGTGTGATGAATATGGTGAGGGTGTGAGTGTTTTGCTTCAGACTAAATGCTGCGATCTCTCTGTACCTCTTGAGACAGGTAAGGTAAGACTTGAGCACAGATCCCATTTAATCTCTTCACGATCTCTGCCTGCAGGGAGAAGCACACACACACACACACACACACAGATACATACACAGGCGCACACACATGCATACACAGAGCTCAGCAAACTCTTCTATTTCAAAATGATCACATATTCTCACCGTTGCTCAGCATCAAAAACATAAACAGTTATTTTAGTATGATTACAACATAATTACAGTCATCTATCATTTTAAGTCTATAAATATTAAGAATTATTACACAAAACAGCTTATAATATCTTATATTTTAAATGTATGCGTTCTTGGCAAACATATAATAAAGCTACTAAAACACAACAAAATGTGTAAGAGAATTGTTTAAACCAGTGTTTCTCAACCACATTCCTGGAGGACCACCAACACTGCATGTTTTGCGTGTCTCTTTTGTTTGTCACACCCATTACAGGTCTTTTAGTCTGCTAATGAGCTGATGATATGAATCAAGTGTGTTAGGTTAAGGAGACATGGCAAATTGTGCAGAGCTGGTGGTCCACCAGGAACGTGGTTTAGAAACACTGGTTTAAATATACAGCGGGTGACACTTCAAAATGACCACTAACGCCACGGCGGTATTGAGGGATTAAGAAAGTGTTTTTAGGTGTAACAGCAGTTTGCGACTATGCCGCCAGGGCATTCATAAAGATGAAATAAGGAAATAAAGCATTATAATTCCTTCATTAATCATTAAAAACTTAATAAGCTTTATTATCATTGTAAACTTAAATGCAACAAGGATTGGTTTTGGAAATTAAAACTAAACAAATAAAAGACAACTAAAATAAAAGTACAAACATACATACACAAATAAATAAATAAATGAATAAATAAATAAATAAATAAAGCCATGTTTTAGCCTAAATATAGAGAGATGTGCAGTGTTTGTTATTTTAAAGTAATAGGACTAAGACAGTCAACAAATAGGCTTGTTCATATACAGTTTCTTTGTTGATTATATTTTTGTCATTTTATGACTTAATTTTTTTACACCAATAATAAATAAATAATTAAATAGGCTTAAATAAATATTAAGTTCTCAGTGAATATAGGCAATGTAGTTTGGTGCATTTAAACAAAACTGCTTTATTAAACAGATACATTTATTATAATTATATTTTAGTCACCAAACATACTAAGAATAAAAAGATAATACAATTAAATTCAAGCAAAATATTGCAAAAAAATAAAAAATAAATCAATAAATTACAACCTACAAAATATAAACTACATTTTTCAAATTTTCTTGATTTTTATTTAAACATTTTTAAAATTTGTATTTAATATTTTTCTATAACATAAATTTGAGTGTACTAGTTTTTGGATCGTTATCGTAAGTTATTTTGTTAGATAAACTCCAGATTTGGCTATGGTATTGACTAGCTTAATGTATATGCATAAATATAATACTGTATAGCTTACAATAACAATATAATAGATAGATTTGTGGTGAGGAGTGTAATTAAATATGCTGAGCACTGTAGGCCTACTATAATTGTAAAGAAAGCTGTGAAGCTGGCTATATTATTTTAATTCTAAAATTCAATTATTAAATGGTTGTGCAGTTAGGCTGTAGACCAGGGGTGCCCAAACACAGTCCTGGAGGGCTGGTATCCTGCATAGTTTAGCTCCAACTTCCTTCAACACACCTGCCTGGAAGTTTCCAGTATACCTAGAAAGAGCTTGGTTAGCTGGTTCAGGTGTGTCTAATTAAGGTTGGAACTAAATATGCAGGACACCTGCCCTCCAGGACCAAGTGTGGACACCCCTGCTGTAGACTGTAAAGCACCTTTCAAAACAACGAAAAGCCAGTAAATAAATGCGCGTGCATAATAGCATATAACAAAAATTGATAAACAATCAACAATGGCTTGCGTATAAAGTGTAAATAAATCATATATTTTTGTAAAATACACTTTTAACAACACACACTAATATAAAATGTTACAATACAACAGATTATTGTTAATTAAAAATCTACAAAATAAAAATTATAATAAAATAAGGTATTTTTCCTTAAATCTTGTTTATAAAAAAATATACTAACATTTATATAGACACACAATATATAATGACTATAAAACCTAAATGTAAACTATAAAAATAAAAATATGTGCACAATCTATAAACGCTGATGGAATAGCTTACTAAATAAATATTCACTGTATATTCTACATGCATTACACAATATAAGCTTATTAGCTACAGTATACACTATATTTGACATTTTATGAAGGAAAAGATTGATAAACACAGAGAATGCTCATGTCTGGATAACATGATTTCTCTGAGTATAAAAAAAAAAAGCCTGTGCGAGCTTGAGGAGGAAAAAAACATGCAGTGGGACAAAGAGAGGCAACAATAACCCTGTTTCAATAGGCTGCCATGCTGACAATTCATACAGCAGAGAAAGAGAGAGAGTGTTTGTGTGTGAGAGAAAGAGAGAGAGAGAATATGTGTGCGTGCGTGTGTGTGTGAGAGAGAGAGAGAAATGACTGCATACCAAACACTGGATGCCTTATTCTCTGCATTCATGACTGTATTTCAGTCTCACACACTCACTCTCTCTCTCTTCCGTGCCTGGCTGACTTTTTTTTAAAGCATATTTCACCTGTGTCATTTGCAGGCCAGGACTGATGAATTGTGCTGCAGTAGCGGTAAAGGCCTGACTTTAAAATGCTGCTTTGTGTTTTAAATGTACTAACCGCTAACACTCTGATGACTGACATTATATGCTGAAGATCAACACTTACTGCTGCCCTTCACATTCTGTGGGTAATCAAACTGTTTTAATGATCAAATCCCTCAAATATAGTCAGTACGAAGGTTTTTAAGAAAGAAGCTTGACAAATATGTAATAATTTGAACTAAATACAGTAAAGAAGTAGCACTGTGACAAAAAACAAAACCTATTTATATTTCACTAAACTGATCATTAAAAATATATCACCTATTCTAACCTGGAAAGTGGAGTCAAACATCAGGTAGTGAATAACCCATTTTCTTGGTACCCCACTGACTCTTCTATGTATATAGTCTTGAAATAAAGCGGCAGCATTTAATATTGTTGATGAAAATTAAACGGCATGTAAAGTTTTCCTGTCTACAGTAGATATACTATCTTTTCCAACCGTAAAAAATCTGCATGATTTATTGTTGCTACCTTGTGGTCAAACTAAATAGTGTCACACAATTCAAAGTAAACGGTTGTTTTGAAAAATCCAGTTGGAACGGTGCGCTTTTGGCTAAAATATGAAATTTGTCAAACTCACCTGCTTGTGCATTTCGATGTTCAGCCCATAGGACATCTCGTAATACTGTAAAGAAACAAGCCAATTAATGCATGAACACAAAACTGAACATTAGTTTTTTTTCCCCATACTGATTTTTCCACTTGAATATGTATTTCTACACATCTTTCCCAGAGTAAATTTCACATAGGACTGAACATTTTAATGTAAACTAGGCACAATGACTGTCAGAAACTAGTAGTGTAATTTAGTCTTTTTTGTATCATTTTTTTGGGGTTTTCACCTTTATTGAGACAGAACAATGGAGATTACAAACATGAATGTGTGGGGAGCAGAGAGAGGGGAAGGATTGGCAAAGGAACTATAGCCAGGAATCGAACTTAAGTTGCCGTAAACACCCTAGTGGTAGTGTGGACGCATTAACCACAAAGCTATTAGCACCGACTGCAAAGGTTTATCGACTGTCGAAAATTCTCATAACTTTTGTGCATTAAAAAGAAAAATGCAACGTCATAACACTTCCTACAATGTTATCATGCTTCATTAAAATAAAAGATGAAGAAAAGAGATATAGTGTATTTTTACTATCACATCAAGCATTTTGAGAATTTAGAGCCACCATAAGGGCAAGCGCGAAAATACAGAATGGTGTCTGTCTGATGTGCTCACAGAGCACTTTATGACAATCAAAGATAAAAATACCAAGCGATTATTATCATTCTCACAGCTTAATGGCTCTGTTTTGCATTTAAATCAAATTTTATTATTAATATATGATTAAATTATAAATAATTCGGAAAAAAAATGCATAGGCAAGGGTTAAAGATTTTCCCATTCAGGTTTTGCTATAGGTTCATTTTTCTTGTGGTTTTGGCAATTCAACTAACAGAATTTGGAAACTTTATTAAAAGGTGAAAGATATCCCACAATTTAGCATGCAATTTTGGCACAATGACCAAGCGAAATTGAATTTTGTGAATTTACCATGGTTACCAAACAGAAATCAGAAAATAACTTACTAGGCGACAGATTTCACAGATTTTGTATTTCCACTTCATTGTCCTGTTTACTAACATAAGATTAATAAAAATAAAAAAAATAAAAACATGTAGGAGTGAAATTTCCAACACAATCTCACAGCAATTCGTAACTTTTAGTTTTTGTGGCTAATTCATATGAATTCGTACAATTTTATTCATACAATTTAGTATAAATTGCTCACCTCCCAGTGACAGTTGGGTTAAGGGGCAGGGTGCCACTCCTTCTTTTTAAAATAATACATTTTCGTACGACTAAACTTGTACTAATTTGTACGAATTAGGCACTAAAGAGACAAAACGTAAAATTAGTTATGTTTTCTCGTGAGATCAGGCTGGAAATATCCTGTTGCAAATTTCATGTTAAACTGAAATTTATTTGCAAATCGAAGTGATCTAAGTGACTGAAAAACCATTAGAGAGAATTTAGGAAAGAAAGAGTTTAGAAATGAGTCCAACATTTTGTCAATTTCTTTTTCTTTTTCTTTTTTTTTAATAAAACAACACAGTGTAACAATCTCATTTACACTTTAAAATTTCGATCAGCTTAGCCAGAATTTAGACAATTTAGAGCCACTGAACAAATGAACGCAAAACCCGTTAAGGCGTCTGATTTGATCCATTTCGTCTTCCAACAAAATGATGACAAAATGCAAAATATAAATCTGCTCTTTTTATGAAAAGACGACAAAAAAAATCATCCTCAACATTTTAAAAACTCCATTCTGTAATTTTACAGATTTTCTAAAATTGCAATCACACTTGTGCATATCAAATTTTTCAAATGCCAAATACGGAAAGAAAATGCGTAGGACAATTTGGCCTTGAGTGTGCAAAGACCTTTAGCCTGGCTCATCATTTGTGTGTTAGCACACAACCTCGGCTGCGAAACAAGAGCAGAGAGCATCAGTGATGGAGCCAGAGTTGGATGAGGGTCGGCTCTGCCAAGCAGCAGTGGGTCCCTAAAGCAATTACCACCAACGCAAAGAGGACGCCCACCCTCCCCATCAGGCAGCGGGTGCGGACAGAGCAGGGCAACCCGATAGGCTATTAGAGGAGCGAGGGAGGGCGCGCTGGCTGATGCGTGTGAGAGCAACGGCGCACAGATTAAATGAGATTAAGCCGCTCGACGGATCAATTAGAGGCGGAATATCAGACGGCAACACGAGGCCCCGGCCGGAGACAACCAGGTTATAGAGGAGGGGGGATGGAGAGAAAGACTGAGAGGAGGATGGACAAAAGAAAGAAAGGCAGACAAGGTAAAAAAAAATTGAGAGAGAGGATGGGGGTGAACCAGGGAGGAGAGGAAGTCCAAGCAGATGAGATGGACATTTTTATACCCAAATGGATTTTGAATTCCATTTTGTAAAAACACACATGCATCAATAAACATTTTAGAAAAATGAAATGATTATTAAAACATTTAAGAAATATAAAATACATAATATACTAAATATTAGGGCTGCATGATATTGCGAAATTTTGTTGTGATATACAATTGAGACATGACTACAATTTCAACAGATGAATTGAATCTCTCTATTTGTAAAGAATTTATCATTTTAGATTGATTTGGATGATTCTACAGGTGAGGCGCATCTGCATATAATCTAATAAACACTCTATAAATACAATAATGAAGCAGATACAATTGAAATAAACATTTTTTTTTGCCATTTGCTATTCAACAGTGTTCAGGTTAAGTAATAATAATGCACTCAAATGAATCGTTACTAAAGCTACAAATAGTATAATTGCTTATGCCTGAATGTTGTAAAAATATTTATACAATCACAGGTCTCAAAAACACATGCAAATGGTGAATTAGAATACAAAATGAACATTGTGCATCCTGCGTTGTGACTATTATGAATGATTACATTGTGATATTGATGCTGAAACGATATATTGTGTAGCTCTACTAAATATGTAATTTTACATACAACAACTTAAAAAAAAGAAAACTAAAATGATTGTATACTATAATAAAGCAATAAGCAATAGATATTAAATGTATAAGAACCACAAGTTGATTGTAAATTAGAATAAATCAGAATATAAATATGATCAAACTAATTTAATAAGTACACAATAGTATATGATATTAGTAGCTTGATTAATCTGGGGTCGCCACAGTGGAGTGAACCGCCAACTTTTCCAGCCATATTTTAGAACAGCTCATTTAAAACTATTTTATCAAGTATAATATTACAATTGAATTATGTATTTTAATTTATTATATTTAACAAGAATAATAATGATAATATAAACTGAGAAATGATATGAACTTCCACAAATAAAAACTATAAATTAACAAATAACATGATAAAAATGTCTAAATTAGGGCAGCACAATATATTGTTTTAGCATCAATGTGCAGATCTGCAGTAGTCACATCGCAAGATCTGCAATGTTGAGTCAGAATGATAGTTGACCAAGATCTACAGAACACATGCAATTTGTAATGCCATAGCTAAGTTTAACCATATTAGAGTGAATGTGTGTGTGTTTTAAGTCCCATGTCTGAGCATTTTAAGAGAGTTTAAAGTATTTTGGCACAAAAAAATAGTGGAATAACTGTGTTAAATTATTTCTATGGAATCTACACAATTTATGCAAACAGAAAAAAAAAAAGTTTTTCTTAATTTAATTTTTTGCCTTGATTCTAGACCAAATATCTAAATGTCAAAGCGAAAACAGGTTTATTTTACTTAGACCATTGGCAGATCATGTAGCTTGTTTTAAGGAAAAACTCTTAGTTTTGACTTTATTTCTTCTAAAGTTGAGAATAAAACAATATTATTACGTGCCATGATCCATTTATTTGAGATATTAGGACTAGAAATGAGACAAAGCAAAATATAAAAAGGCATTTTTGGCATTGCGATTAATTAATTTTTGTACTTAAATACTTTGAAACTCCCCTCAAAAAAACGGTCAAATAGAGCTATTCAAACCATCACTGTGAAACTCTTTACATATCACAATATTTAATCACAGAAATATAAAATAAATCACAATATCAGATTTTTCCAATATTGTGCAGCCCTAAATATAAATCTAAATATTACATTTATTTATCACATCTATATGCTGTGGGGTACAGCAATCATGTGAAACAGAAAAATAAATCAGGGGTAGACAACTCTTTTTAGAGAACAATGAGGAAACGGTATTTCATTCATATCAAAGTGCAAGTGAAAGTAAAGTAAAAAGTGTGCTGTGATCAGTTTACGTTGTGCAGGATAGACATCTGGATAGTTACATTTGAAATTGGTGTATTGTGCAATTTAATCGTTAATTATTATTACTATTAGCATATTACTTAACAGTGCAAGTGAAAGTAAAGCTGTGATCAGTTTACTGAAACTTTCAGTTACAATTGTAGTTATTGTGTTATTTAACTTAAACAAATGTTTATTAATGCTATTAGTATATTACTTAATGACAGCGGGACTGAAAGTAGATAATGCCTATTGAAATGTGTCAAAATGACGAACAACCTGTTTTTTCTGTCTCTGCTAAAAAAATATAAATATAAATAATACATCTATTTTTATATAAAACTTTTTCATTGCTAATAAAAACTATGATAATATAATATAATATAATATAATATAATATAATATAATATAATATAATATAATATAATATAATATAATATAATATAATATAATATTCACTCAAATCTGACTTCATCTATTGGTACCAGGTAAGCTACTGTCACCCTCAAAAAAAAAAAAAAACCTTCCTATTCATAAATCCTCTTGGTGAGTAGCAGGAACAGAATGGTAATGGAGCAGCGGAAAGACAGCACTAAGGCAGACTGAGAGTAAGACACAATGAGACGCGACAGGTAAGGGTTAGGTTAGTGTCTGGCGGATGTGAATGTGTTCCGGCACATTGAGCCTACGGCGCATCCCTCTGGAGGAGAGCAGACTTACCATGATATAATGACGCTGCATTTCTGACTTCTCACTCGCCAGCTTGTCACATTCCAGCTTCAGACTGGACAGAAGAAAGACAAAAACCAACGGTCACTACATGAAAAACACAGACACCAGACTGACATTATGCAATACAATCTGAACAGCTCAAACTGGTTCAGAGATGCTTTCGGCCTTTTCACATTATAAAAGATGCATTAATAATTTTTGTGATTGCTCTAGACTCCAGCGTTAATGTTGACAGCAAATTTTGATTTAGTGAGTATTTCTTTAAGATTTATAATGCTTTAGGGAGAACAAAATTTAATGCACTAATAACCGGCCCACACTGAATCTGAGATCACACAAGGGAGCAGATTCTCTATTTACTTTTATTTACTTAAGCAAATGTCTATAAACAAATATTCATTTAGGCTGGGTTTATATCGATCTCAATAATATTATTGAATACTATGCCCATTTTCGGTTTGTAAAGTAATATTTTCAATCTTTTAGTAGATATATGAGAGACTTACTGTTACTAAATATTTATATAGTAACATTTTTTATATTTATATAAATATTTGTATTTTATTTATACATTAAAAAGTCAACAATGCAAATAAACCATCTACATCAGTGGTTCCAGTACCGGTCCATGTATCAATTGAATTGAAATCATAAATTAATTCCGTTTTATTTATTATCTTTGTCTGAACAATATTTTATTTTTTATTTATTTTGAAAAATGACCGTATTATTTTAGTCACTTAAGTGTCAAAATGTAACCCACAAGCTAGCAAAATGAGTAAGAAGGACCCTTAAAATACCAAAGAATGGATTTGCAACACATTTGTTAAGAAAAAGATCAGCTGCTGTAGATTTCAAATCACAGTGGCCTGGTTTACATATCACGTCTTTTCTGCACACAAGTTCGTAATTTCCAATGGAGGCACACCGATTGTGTGTGCATATTGGAAGCGGTACGACACACTCGATGTTTAACAAGGAAATTTTTACAGTATGTCTGACAATGTTTTTTCTTCTGAAGAAAGTCTAATTTGTTTTATTTCAGCTAGAATAAAATCAGTTTTTACATTTTTGAAACACAATTTTAAGGTCAAAATTATAAGCCCCTTTAGGTTAACCTTTTTTCGATAGTCTACAGAACAAACCATTATACAATAACTTGCCTAATTACCCTAACCTCCCTAGTTAACCTAATTGATAGTTTCAACAGTCCCTTCACGTGGACAGTCCAAATATAATATCTCCTAAATAGTTGCACACCCTTTGCTTTATCCTGATGCAGACCCTGAATCGTACCTCTCAAAGGATATGTGATTACACAATGGAATGACAGAGTGCAAGATCTGTGATTGGCCAACCTGGTAGTGGTGACAAGTGTGGGCAGAAAGCTGTGGGAGCGGAGCAAGGGAGGTTGTGCGAATGTCGAGTCCGGAGGAGAACAAGTTCCAGATAGATTATTTTGCTTTTTGTTTATTTTTATAATAAATCGCTAAAAGTTTGCTGGTTCCCACCTCTTTCCTAAATCTGTGTGATTTTGGGCTACAGCTACAGTAGGATTGCACGCATTTTCAGCAAAAACTGAAAAAATTTTAGGGAAAAATAAGCTAGCGATAATTCATTTCTAGAATTCATATCGAAGTGAAAGTGAAAGTAACGAATAAAGTGTGTTGTGATCAGTTTACGTTGTACAGTTTCAATTGTATTGAGCGTGTTAATGTAAATAAATGTTTATTATTACAATTAGTATATTACTTAATGACAGTGGGGCTGAAAGTAGATAATCCTCATTAAAATGTGTCAAAATGACGAACAACCTTCAGTTTTTTCTCTCTCCTAAAAAATAAAAATCATGCCGTTTCAGACATGCATTTCAATGTGTGCTTCACATCTGCTCCATCTCTTCTCCCACACATTGACATTTTTTTTACTTTTAATGAGACAAATACTTTCTTACTTTCCTGCAGGGGGATCAGTATAGGCTACATTCCATTTCAAATGTGCACAACTCGCTCACACGCAGGACATTCATTCTGACTGGATCTATTTCAGAGCGGTCCGTCTCTAACAATTTAGTTTTGTCGTATTTCTTCATGAAAATGTAGTTTTTTGCTATTCAAATCAGTTTTATATAGTTACTATACTATGTTATAACAATTATTCAGAAACAAAAACAACCACAGCAAACAAGAATCATTGGTTTGACTGAAAATTAGCTAATCAGAAAGCCCTGTTCAAATTGACTACTTTTTATTACAAAACATCCACTGAATTAAACTGCTATAAAAATGCATCATATACAGGGCTTAATATTAACACCCGCCAAATGTGGGTAGATTTCAGCTTTGGCGGATTAGACAGTCACTCCCACTAGCGACTTTGGCTGATTAAAAATAATTCTTAAATTGTGTTTTTTTTAGAAGCAGGGTTCAACAATAAGAATGACCCAATATGCGTGCAAATGCGATCTTAGAATCGAGAAACAGCACGACTAACAAAAACAAATTGCGTTCACACAAGCAGAAGAGAGCAGATGAATACAGAGAGGATGATCACTTGCGCTAACAGCTGATGTGATGTGATGCACATGCGCTGATGTGAAGCATGTGTTTTTAAGCACTGGTTTGCTTTCGCTTTGAACAGCATATACTTGGCCTTAACCGTGTGATGACCCTTCCATTATCACATAGTATGTTTTTCACCTGCTTTCTTTTGCTTATAGTTATTTTTGTTAATATGGTTTAATTGTAAAAAATTATAACAACATTGCTTTAAAATGAGATTAACTCTCCATTTATGTGTAGTTAACTGGTGATCTGAGAAACCTTTAGCGAGAACTGATTACTGTGCATATTTTTGATACATGACAATAATTATTTTAAAAAGTCAATTGTTTTTCTTTGTTTTTTTTAAAGAAATATTTTGTTAAATAAATAGTACAGTATACAGCTATATTTAGCTTGTTTTGACATTTAAAATTTGTGGCTAAGAAATAATTATTGTTTGGTGTGGTCAGAGATAAATTTGGTAAATCCTTAATCTTGAGTTCTGAAAAGTCATGTGAAATAAAAATAATTGCTGTATAACACTATCATAAAGTCATATTTATGCAAATAAACAATTTTTTGCCAACAACAAAATTGTGGCTAGTGAAAATGCAGAGTGGCTGGCTAGTAACGTTGGAAAACTACTAGTCACTGTGGCTGGTGATCAAAAAAGTTAATGTCAAGTCCTGATCATTATATATATATATATATATATATATATATATATATATATATATATATATATATATATATATATATATATATATATATATATATATATTTTTTTTTTTTTTTTTTTTTTTTTTTTTGCATAAATCTGTAAATCAACCTCAGTTCTGATCAAAACTACCAAATTGCTTAGAAAGTTACAGGATTTTAAGTCTTTATTTGAAAATTTACAAATGATGTCACTGATTTGGTGAAAAACACACACAAAATGACGTATTTTGAATATAAACCGTATTTGTGGGCTGGTTTTTAACCTTTTATCACAGTCTTCGACATGTGAATGATTAGTAACAACATTGGCTTTAAAGTGTTGTTAAATTTTTATTTTTTTCTCCCTAATTTACTGTTGGTGGCTGTTTTTGCCCCATTGAGCTCCATTATAACCACATTTGATGGTGCATAAATACACAGTCTTTGTTTTTGTTTACTCCATGTAGTTCTGAGAGCTGACATTCATATTTAGATTTTCTCAGACACATTAAGGTAAGTGCTCAAAGGTCACTTTCATACACATACAGACACTTTAAGTTGCTGTTATACTCCATATAAAATCCAGAAACTAAGCTTTTTTCTTGGCACAGGCCTATCTAACAGGTTAAAAGAGTTCACGTGAATGGTCTAGCATAGCCTTTGCACAATCTCATACCCTTTGCTTTATCCTGATGCAGACCCTAAATTGTACTTCTCAAAGAATATGTAAATACACAATGCAGTAACACAGAGTGCAAGATCTGTAATTGATTTGGAAGTGGTGGCAAGTTTGGACAGGGCTAAAAGCTGTGGGAGCGGAGCGAAGCAGGTTGCGCGAGTGTTAAACAATTGTCAAGTCCTGCAAAGAAGTTCCAGATAGATGTTTTTGCTTTTTTGTTTATTTTATAATTAAAGTTGCTGAAAGTTTGCTGGTTCCTGCCTCCTTTTTTTCTAAATGTGTGTGATTTTGGACTACTGCTACAGTAGCATTGCACGCATTTCCAACACAAACTTAAAACGTCGGTAAGAAAACTCAACATAGTGACACAGGCGTATCTAAAGGGTTAATGGTGCCAAGTGATGATCAACAGTAAAAATGACAAATTCCCAACAGGGAAAAAAATCACCAGCAATCAAAAAATGCACGATTATATGATGTAATGGTTTAGTAATAAATAAAGTGTGGTTATAATGGAAGTCAATGGGGCAAAAACAGCCACCAACAGTAAATTAGGGAGAAATAAAAAAAAAATCAATCAAAAAGAATGCATCAAAGACAATGCTGCTTCACAAGTCCAAGACTTTGATAAAAGGTTAAAAAATCCAGTCCGCAATTACTTTTTATACTGAAAATATGCCATTTTGTGTGTGTTTTTCACCAAATCAGTGACATCATTTATGAATTTAGCAATTAAAATATCAAAATCCTGTAAATTTCAAAGCAATTTAGCAGTTTTGATCAGGACTGAGGTTGATTAACACCGTGGTTCCCAACCTTTTTTTGCCTGAGACCCCCTTTTCCCTGGAAACTAATATAAGGCTCCACTCCACATTTAATTAAAATGTCGCTCCTACAATTTACAGTAATGATGACAAAAATGTTTTGAAACAAACAATATGTTTAATACTATATCTAGATATGTTTATGCACAAATAAAAGCCTAATGTAAAATATAAAAGCAAAACATCAGTAGGTAATTTGTAAAAAAACAAAAAAACAAAAAAAAACTTAAGGCTTTGGCCTTTAAATTGGCTCTAATTGAAATTCAATAACAAAAATATCAGTATTCACACTGGTGTATGAGGGAAA